TTGGGGGCAATATGCTGACTCTGTAAACCGCTTAGAGAGGGCTGAAAGCCCTATGAAGCGGTATATAAGTCTACTGCTATTGCTATTGCTATTTAAAAAATCTCAATTGGAATGTTGAATTTACAGGTTGGGGTTCCTTGGCCTTTTACATATGGAAGTTTTTAATCAGCGACTGGAACAAGAACACAACGCCTCGGTCATTTTGACAGCGCCCACGGTTCCCTACAAGGCCATCCTTTCTTCCCCCAAATTGATAAAGGTGATGATTTTTTTTTATTTAAAAAAAAGTTTCAAGTTGTTAGTGCGCGAGGAGAAATTGAGCGTAATTCTTGGCCGTTTCCACAATGTAGTTGAACTCTCCAGGACTTAGTACATCATGAAGCTGGTCAAATATGACATTTTCCTCTGGAATATACCTTTCTCGTGTGGCTCTTCGGCTTTGAAACGGAGATCAGCACCGCCCCCTAGAGTCAGGAACGACTAGCACATATGCGCGAGGGGAACCTTTAATTTTTTTTCTTTTACTAAAAAAGCTTTTAAAATACCGTCTTTTCCTCTTCTTCTTTTCCTGTTTTTGCAGGAACACAGAAAAGAGGAAATCACGATCGTGAATCCCGCCGAGTTTCCTGACCAATCCATGGTGACGGGATACCTGGAGCCGATAATCCTAGGCACTATCGTGACCCCTAAAGAATATATTGGACAAATATTAGCCCTTTGCCAGGTTGGTGCGTCAGGTGGAGAGCGTTGTGGCATGGAGGGTGTGATTTCTGACAGGCTCCGCGGTTGATTAATCAGTCGTTATTGAGCTGAGGGGCACGAGAGATTGCATTTATCTGCGGGAATTTGTCTGGCTTTGCGGTAGAAAACCCTGAATTTTAAATCAGCGGCTCTCAACCAGCAATGCACGTTGTCACCGGCCCGCACCGGTGACTGTCAACAATAGCTGTCAACTCCCAGCGTTGTCATAGTGAGAGAAGGGGGAGGAGTGCATTCCACGCATACTGTCGGCTGAAGTCGGATCTCAGATGACTGCAGCAGGCTTGGGAGGGGTGCACCTCATTGGGGAATGTGATTTATGACACAGACTGAGGGGAGGGAAGGAACAGGGGTAAAGTTCAAAAATGTAAGCCTTTAAAACTTAACGTCAGT